CCTGACTGCCATGATTTTCCAAATATAATGGACAGTGGCTTAGCAGCTTCATCCTTCAGGACCCGCAGATGGATTTCATCAGGTCCCATGGACTTGTGCACATTCGGGTTCTTAAGATGGTCTCAAACCTGATCCTCTCCTACAGTGGGCCTAAGGTCTTCATTCTCACAGTCCCTAGGTTTGCCTTCCAAGACTTGGGTGGTGTGATCTGAGCATTTGCTAGTGAAGACTGAGGCAAAGAAATCATTAAGAATCTCAGCCTTCTCCAAATCCAGGGTAGCCAGTTCTCCCGATAGCTTCCGGAGAGGGCCCACATTGTCCCTGGTCTGTCTTTTATTTGCTCCATTTCTATAGAAGCCTTTCCTGTTATCTTTAACGTCCCTTACCAGATTTAATTCTAACTGGCCCTTAGCTTCCCAGACAACGTTCCTGTAATCTTCCCAGGCTGCCTGTCCTCACTTCCACCTTCTGTAAGCTTCTTTTTTCCCTCTAAGTTTCCTCAGCAGCTCGTTATCCATCCATGGAAGTCTGCTGGCCCTCCTGCCAGGAGTTAAAAAAAAAAACCAACAAAACAAACAACCCACACCTGAACAAATGGGCTAAAACAAAGCACCAGTTTACAGCATTGGAACAAATCAGCCACAACAGCAGCAGTTTTCTGTTCCCTTCTGTTCACCAACTAGAATGTTTTCAGTTAGCAGTCTATTTCATGATAGGACATATGCCATGATACAACAAAGGTGAAGTATATAAAAGTAAACAAGTGTTCCCATGTGAGTACAGTTCCTTAAGGTTTTATACTCCATATTAACAGTTAACTGGTGATTTGCCTTTCTGATCAGATAGTTGGCAAGGATTAGTTGGCTAATTGTTTCAAAACATATTGCAATCTATTGCAATCCATAAACAGAATCCACTCATGCTAACACAATCAGATTGTTTATTTATTATTTGAAGGGATTGTAATAAGTTTTCAATAGGTTACTGAACCACTTTGCAGATTTGATCTGCTTCATAAAACTGTGCATAATATTAAATAAATGTAAACCTACCATTATCTTCTTCAGCAAACCTGATTCTGCATGGTGTGTCTCTGATGAAGAGATCCTAGTCTGGGTGCAAATGCCAAATTACACCGGTAACAGGCATACAATCTGTGCTCGCTTGGATTGACAGTACCCAAACTGGAACACAGTGGAAAATTAGGGTCTTATTTCTGAGAGGCATTTCATGAGGCATTTCATGACTAACCATTCCAAAGACAGACAGTTTTCTTCTAGAGTTTCTTCTTAGGCTTTCTTTAATCTCAAGCTATCACCAGATCTAAATCAACAAATCTCCACTAACTTCACCATAGCAGTGCCATTTTGCACCAGCTGAGGATTGGTTCCTTGTATTTTGTTACTCAGTGTCCTTCTTCTTTGTTTCCTAAGGTGTACTACTGTCGATCATTAGCCATTGCTTTTATTGAGCAAACAGTCTTACAAAGATATCATGACTACACTCATGATCCCAGCGTACCATCTACTCTACAGCCAGTGCTTAAGAAACTCAGTGCTCTCTATGGACTCTGGTCTTTAAGTAAACATCTGGCTGTGCTCTACCAAGGTGAGATCAGCTCCCTGAATACACTGTGCATGTCAGTTTATAAGAGTTTTGGCAAGGGGAAAGAATCCTGATTAGGATTTAGATTAGAACATTTTCTTATTGCCTGTATAATAAAAAAACAGTCATTCAGGGCAAAATTTTCAGGAGCAAGAATCTGGAGCAACAAAATAACCCAGAAGAGTCTTAGCTCAGAGATGAAGGAGGGCTCACAAGTTTTGCTGTGGTGCAGTGCTTGGGGGAGAGGATGAGGGATAGGCACCAAGATGCTGTAGTGTAGCTTGTTAGTGCAAGAGGCTTCAAATGTCTTAGATCAATGGTTTTGCAGCCAACTCCAGTTACACAGGAGCATCCCTTTAGTCTCTTGGATACTGAACTCATAAACTTCTTTGTAAAAGGACTGTATCAGAGTAACCTTTACTGGCATAAGCTTCTTTGTGAATGTATTTGCAGGTGGCTATGCTTCAGGTGAGCAAGCTGGTAAATTTATTCAGAATGCTATTCTGGAGCTCTGCTACAGGGTAAGCCTTCAATATCGTTTGTTGTGATTAAATAATAATACAGTATATGAATACTGAAAAAGAGATTTATCAGTTGTTCTGTACTTCAAGAATAGTTTCTGAATAACTTCCTGTAAAGTTTAGTAACTCATTGATCCTGAATCTAGTCCTAGTTTATTTACCCAAAAATGAAAACACTCATTTGTGAGTGTTATTTTATATATAACACAATAATCTGTGGCCTTGCAATCTTAATTGGGAAGCCAGTGAAATATTGTGGTCCAGTTCTACTTTTTTTTCTATTTATTTTATGTTAGCCCATGAGTTCTTTTTCTCAACACTGAATTATGGTAAGCAAAACAGGTAAGCAAAATTTCAAAGAATCTGGACATTGTTTTTACAATTCAAAAATATGAGGTTTTATGTGTGTAAACAGTGCCATCTTGGTTAAAATATGGTTTAAAACCCATAAACAAGGGGGAAAATCATTTAAAATATAGTCTTTTTTGGCAGTTACCCTGGGAGATAGAAAAACAAAATAAATCTAGACTTCTTATCATGGATTTCTTTTAAGTTACCAATAGCTGGTACTTTATGAAAATAATCTTTATGCCACTCTCTAGTTCACAGGTAGCCATAGACAACTACAGAACTTGCCAAATGTATGTCTTCTCTTTTTAAACAGCTGAAGGATGATGCAGTTGCCCTGGTTGATGTCTTTGCTCCTTCTGATTTCATTCTCAACTCTCCCATTGGTAAAGCTAGTGGAGAGGTAAGAAAATCCATTTTAAAATGTGTAAGTTTAATCATTAAGTATTTCCTGTAAACAGCCGTAACACTTCATGACTACAAAAGAAAAGGAAGACACTTTTTGAGTGGAAAGTACCAGAGGTAAATTGATGCCATCATCATCTGTATGAAACTGATAAAATATTGAGGTGTTCTTTCCCTGGTGTCTCGGCTGTTGGCAGTTGGTGGTTTAAGAAATACCTTATGCTATAGGTTGTATTTGCACCACTCTGTTTAGTAGCTACAGGTGTATCTATTCTCCATTCATTTTTTCCATCCATTTCCAAATTCAACTGTCTTTTGGCTTCCAAGAGACTGGAATTTCCATAATTTGGTTATGAGTATTGTGAAAAAATACTTCCTAGTCCCAGTCCATATACATTTACTGTCTGTGGAGGCCTTTTAATTCCTCTGACAGGCCTTGTTTTCCTTCTTTGTATCTTTCCTGGTTCTGCCATAGCCTTTCTGAGGTGTCATAACCAGACCTACACGCAGGATTCAGGATGCGGTTGCACCATGGATTTGGCTATACTCAATCATGGTCCCTCTCTGCTTTTTTTTCCTTGACATACTCAAAAGAGCTGTATTTCATTCCAGAGTCTCAGCAAACCAAAATTCTTGCTTACTGGCCAACCCTACTCAGCAGGGCCAAGCTGTGGGATAACTGTTACGCAGAGACTAGTGTCACAGTGCAGCAGTTTGGTTTAGTGTGGATAGACCATGTAGAGAATCACTAGAGCCTGGGGAGACTGCCAGGATCTCTGTCAGGATTGCTGAGTCAAGTGTACTCAGTGCTCTTCAATATTCTCTGTGTCTTCGCATCTGAAGTTGCCCATCGTTCCCATGGTGATCAAGCAATACAGAAGGCAGCCCAGATGTTTCTAATGAGACGCTGACCTAACAGAATGATTACTTTGGTAACACAGTCTCTACAAATAAAGGAGGAAAGGCTAGCTCTACATATCCAGCCATCTCAACAAGAGGACAGTGATCATCACTGGAAACTTTGTTTCTGTTTGTGTAGATTTTTGGGGATTAAATTAATGAAAAAGGTCATGGGATGCAAACTCTGACAGTAACTCTAAGAGAAGGAACATCATTTGTAAGAATGTTAAGAGTGTCTGCGCTGGCCAAAAGCCTATTTTCACTCATTATTCTGTCTCTAACAGAAGCTGTGAGCAGATGCTATAAGCAGGAATATAAAATATGGTGCAAGTACACAGTGATCTGTTCCTAGAATACTACCCACTTTCTAACAGTCAGCTGGAGATTTCTTATCAGCAGCTGATAAAGCTGTCATGTAATGGATTTGGCTATCTACTCTTTGGCTAGCTCTTAGCTTACACAAACAAGGAAGCCACAGAGGCTTACTAATAGTAGAGATTCATTTTAGAGATTAATACTAGGAATATAATAGGTGAGACATGCAGATAGGACTCTAAAAAATACTGACTTCCTTGTGTACAAATATTTGGTAAGGGTTTATTTAATTCATTGAGTCATATTGAGAAAATAATTTAAGCAGTGATATCCAAACCATGTTCTGCAGAATTCAGGAAGGTTTCCTGAACTGCCTTTAAGCCTGTGGTTTTCAACTTGTGTAAATATTTTCAACTGAAATTTGAAAGAGGCTGCCAATCCCTCACTCAAAGAAAATACTTAATAAAACTCCTTCTCTCCTGACTGTCTATAGTTAATTCATTGCTATCTTTGCAACTTCTAAAACCCAATGCAAACATTTTAGTAAGAATTACAGTATGATAATAGATTATCCAAGCATAACAGGAAAATTAATTTAATTCAGGATAACCTGTGTTGTATTGCAGCACAGTGCCTTGCACCATGAGCCACAGATCAAAATTGGAGCAGAAGAAAACTTTCCAAATTTCTCATGGGCAGATTTAAGCACTAAATAAGAATTCAGAGTCTCTTTAAAAAAAACTTTGATTGTATGGACAACATTTCACCATAGAAGCTTTGACAATCTCAGCTTAAGTATATGAAGTTCTCACCATATTTATTTCAAAATTGTTAGACAATACTAAATCAAACTTGGAATGGAATAAATAGTTAACACTAGTCCATGTAATCAAGGTAAAAATATATTTTATACTAATTACATGGGCTGCATCAAAAGAAGCGTGACCAACAGGTCAAAGGAGGTGATCGTGCCCCTCTGCTCTCGTGAGAGCTCACTTGGAGTATTGTGTACAGTTCTGGTGTCCTCAACATAAGAAGGACATGGAGCTGCTGGAGCAAGTCCAGAGGAGGGCCATGAGGATGATCAGGGGCTGGAGCACCTCCCATATGAAGACAGCCTGAGGAAGGTGGGGCTGTTCAGCCTGGAGAAGAGAAGCTGCGTGGAGACCTCATAGCAGCCTTCCAGTATCTGAAGGGGACCTACAAGGATGCTGGGGAGGGACTTTTCCTTAGGGACTGTAGCAGTAGGACAAGGGGGAATGGGTTTAAACTTAAACAGGGGAGTTCAGATTAGATATAAGGAGGAAGTTCGTTCGAGTGAGGGTGGTGAAGCACTGGAATGGGTTGCCCAAAGAAGTTGCAGATGCTCCATCACTGGCAGTGTTCAAGGCCAGGCTGGACAGAGCCTTGGGTGACACGGTCTAGAGTGAAGCATCCCTGCCTGTGACAGGGGGTTGATACTAGTTGACCTTAAGGTCCTTTCCAACCCAAACCATTCTATGATTCTATGATACAGGGCCAAGCCATCTTTTGATGTAGAAGAAAGTCTTTTCACTTTATGTCACTAACTGCTTTTATACTATGCCAATATTGTATTGTATTGTACTGCGGCTTACTGCTGAATATAAGGCCTTTCTTTCCTCATATTTCTAGGATGTTATTTAAAGTTTTAAGCTTCACTTACTTATGAACTGCCAAATATTGCTAAAATTATAGTTTTGCAGCATTTACTTCCCATATGCTGTTTTTAAACTGTTCCACATAAAATTGAAAATTGATGAAGATGATGAATTAACAATCTGCTTGTGAGAGAAGTCTTTATTAGGCTTAGATCTAACAGTTCACGTCTGGGAGAGAAGTTATGTTACTTTCCAGAAATGTGTTAAAACAAAGGTAAAACCAGACATGCACAACTACTTTCAGACACAGTCCTCGGGTTTGGACAGAACAAAGATTAGCTTAATATAACTGGTTTCCAAATTGGTACCTTTGATAATACGACTCATGTCAAGTTGAAACCAAGAAATTACAAAGGTTACTGTTTTCCTGCTCTCATTCCAAGGATGGTCTAAATGATTTTCACAGATACCTGATTACTGTACTTAGAAATTTTGTGTTTATTCTTGCCTGTACATAATTACTCACATTTATTATCTAGAAATTCAATCAAAATCTCATTTTAACCAAGAAGTTAGATAATTTCTCCAGCAGAATTTTTCTTTGGTTTATTTTCCATATGAATTAATCCTGTTTTATTATTATTTTGCAGCTATATAAAAATATGTGGGCAGAGATCCTTCAAGGCAGCAAAACTCTGAACAGACCTTCATGGTGGGCAGAATTATGTATTAATAAACCTGTTATAGGCAGGCTCAGGTCAAGATTGTAAACCAAACAGCTTGCAAGAGGCTGGATGGGCCCAAAATGGATACTTATTTCAAACATCAGGAGGAAATAAGACCATATGTCAAACACTGAAAATGAAGAATATTTTCATAGAGAAGTGCCAAGTTTTAAAGCAACTTTAAAATCAAGTCCAACTTGGTCTCAGGGCCCGTTAACAAAATAATGGCAGGATTAAGAGCAGAACATATAGAATGAATCACAGAATGGTTTAGGTTGGAAGGGGCCTTAAAGAGCATCTGGTTCCAACCCTCTGCCGTGGGCAGGGACACCTTGCACTAGACCAGGTTGCTCAAACCATCTGCACACTTAATTAAATACTAAATCAGATACAAAAAAATGAAGATTTATTATGCTCTCTGCTTTGCAGAGTTCCTATAAAAGGAATGTTCCAATCAGTCTCTTGACTTTACTGTCATATTACAGAAGTTAAGTAATTAAAAACATTTCCCACCAGGGATTATGAATAAGCTGAACAAAAGAAAAAACAATTTAGGACAAGCCATACGGAAGCTTTATTATGATCATACTGGGAGAACATTCAAAAAGCATTTCCCCTTCTGCTCCCCTGTTCTCAGCCAACTGATTGCAGAGACCCAACCTATATACTATTTCAGAAAAAAAATAAAGAGTTGAGGAAAAGCAATCATTTCAATGTTAACAAAGCCAAATATCCATCCCTGGAGGCTACTCCTTAGGTAGCTTGCAAACAACTGCCACAATTCCAAGGAATCAAACAGTAAATAACATGACAATATGACAAGGTGGCTTTTGGTGGAGCCTGTATTAGTGGCACACTCTGTGTTATCTCAGAAGTGGGAAGTTGGAAACTATCACAGACTCTTAGTAAAGATAACTTCTTAGCCAGAGATCTTGATCTTAAATAGTGATAATTTTACCACCAGAAGTTCAAGGTCAGCTAAAGATGATCACCCTCAAAACACTTCAGTAAAATAAAAACAGCCAGCAGCAAAAAACCTCAAAATGATGAAACTGTTGTTTATGTTGGGAAAATGAATAAAGATGATCTTGTTAAACCTTACTTCTCTTTTTTTAATGAACTTTTTTTTCTTTGCCAGAGATAGTCAGTGTTGCCTGTGTTTTTTCTGCCTTTATTCTTTTCTAATGAGGTACCATAATTCGGGATGTCTAGTTACTGAAATGTGGGAAACAGTCAAAAGTTTAGCCCCCTTTGCTGAAAAGAACCCCAGTATAAGGTGTGTAGTTCTTTGAACTGTTTTGCCTCTTTTAATAATGACCAATAGGTGGCATCATCCCATGGGAAAGAAACCCCACCAAACAGATCAATACAGCTAAATACCTGTCATTAGATATTATGGAATCATGGAGTCTCATGATTATCTTCATTTATTTTCTATATCAATAGACAATCCAGGAAGTGTATTCTGCTTGCATTTGTGCAGACTTGAAAGAAGCAGGCAAAACGCATTATGACCAATATCCAGTGTGAACACCAGGATCTGTGACGGTGAGAAAGGCAAATGGGGAGGAGATGCCCCACTACATAAAACACAGAGACCAGTAGCATTGATCTGTCACTCCACATTTTGTACTATCAATCAATCAGCAGCATTATTTCACTGTCTTACATGTGTGCAATTTCGCCGTCACCTCTGACCTCTTCATAAATGATACGGTCTTTTCCTGCCTCCTTCCTCATGGCTGGAAAACAGAGATTTACTATATGTAAATCTTGCATATAAACTGTAAGTCTATTTATGAGGCCTTTGTGGCCTAAAATTAAAAACAAAGATGTTTGGCATATAGCTTAAGCCACCTTTATCCAAAAAAAAACCCTGAGAAATCAGCCGTGTCAGAGTAGAACAGAACTAAGACCCAGTAAGCCCCAGGCATACCCAACAAACACATAAGAGGATAAACAGACACCCTGTGGAAATATATCCCTAAGCTATTCCTGTTAATCTTATTTATTATGACTAGTCAACATCCAAACTCCCTGATAAAAGCTGAGCCCCTACCTGCTGATACGGACTGTACAAACTGTCAGGGAAGTGTACTGTTTGTCCTGAGAAGCTTCTGACTTCAACTAGGGCGAGCACTGCGGAGAGTGCATCAGCAAGAACATGATTACAGGTAGGCAAAATGGGCTACTCAGTAAAATGTCACAATTATAGACACTAATGTGAACTGTCACACAGCTTGCACTAAGCTTAAAGCTTCATGGTGTCCTTGGATATCCACACAGTTAATGGGAGAAGTTAGAGGCTTGAGCACCAAAGCTCAAATAAGTAAAAGCAAAGCAGGAATACTGCGAGGCCTTGGGGATTTACTCTGTATAACACTACACATCTCTGTACCACAGCTGTGGATGATGGTGGATTCTCACCAAGACTCTTTGCAAGCTCAGTGCAGGTGTTCAGCAGCTGCTGGGCTTTGTATGCTGACAGCAAAGGCTATCTCTATTTACTCTCATACCCAGTACAAAGCCATGGCGCAGCAAAGCCAGGCTCATTCTATGGGCCAGAGCCACGCTATACTCTGTATTATCAAAACTCTGCTATTTTCTACATGAATATCTTGATAACCATTCTTTAATCAGTTATGACTATGAATTTCTGACCCATATGTTAAGCCAGACCTGTATAATTAAATGAGCAAAATATCCTTTTCCTCTGAAGTCAAAAATAAGCCAAAAGTTCTTGAGGTTTTCTACATCCAGCTTCTCAGAGCAGCTGGAATTGTGTGAACTTGCAGTACGGCAGCATGGAGGAAGAAAGCTGTCATGAAATTTGGCATCCAATTATCTACTAAATCATAGTGCAATAATTGAACCACTACCGCAAGATGTCATGATCATATGCAGTTTGTTCCTCTTCATAGGACATTAAATAAAAAAGGCCTCTGGCAGAACAGAAAAGCCATTTCCCTACCGGATCAAATGCCAAATAAAGTTGGATGTGTCATTTTAGCTTGGTTGGGAAGCTGGGTCAAAGGCTGTCAAATAGTTTCAGTCCAAAACAATTTGGCCATGGGAATCTGTCCTTTCAAGCTGCCACACGAAGGCACCAGAAGGTTGAATCCAAGTAAGCATCAAAGATCCCTAACCTGCTGCTTCCCCTGTGCCCATGATGGTCTTTCTCCTGGATAGTGGCATTTTTCATCCTTATGACTTTGTCAAACCATCAACCTGCCAAGGGTATTTCAAGCTAGCTCCTTCCATGATGAGGTATTTCTGTTGATGTGAGTCAGTTAAAGCAAAAAAGCTCTTTTGTAACAGAAAGAAAATCACATTGTTCATGCACTTTAGGACACTGAATGCACACACTTCCCTCGCTGATGTAGTGAGATAAATACATGAGTATTTCGCATCACATTTTGTAGGAATAATGGTGTCAGGAGAAAGTTTTAGGGAGCCAAATGGAAACCCTGCCGTCTTTACAGCTGCAGTTCTGTGGATACAGGTTTACCAGGTGTGCTTGTTTTCTGCAGAGATAAGTAGACTCATACGCTGCCATTTCTGCCTGAAAGCCTGTTTCCTACTGTAATAAATGATTTATCATGTGTTCTGCAGGGTAGCAAGTTCCTCTTCTGTTTGTCTTTAATCATGTATTTTCTTTACTAACTTAATGTGTTTTCAGACCTAAGTGGTGATTTAGTGCTAGCACATGCTATCAGCATGAGTGGTCTCTCTGAGATGCAACCATACGGACATCAGGGAGGCCTGTGTGTCCTCTCATAGCACTGCATCTTCATGAGCCTCAGCAGTGTTTTGTTATTTCCAATTCCCATTAGCCTGAGATCAGAGTAAGTCTCCAGATCATCTTAGCTCGGTTCACTGGCCTAAGGAGCACCTTAAGCAAAGGGGAGCTCACTGCATGAGACATCCATGTGATAGCAGAATGTGAGACAGGCAGATCCAGCCAAGCGATAGTCAGCTGTGATCACAGCGGGCTGCCCACAACACTGTCAAATAGAAGGAGAATATTTCACATCGTTTCCTTTCAGAGGCAGGGAGATGAATGCAGGTTCTGCTCAGAACAACAGTTCTACTGACTATCTTGCCTTTTTCTTTCCCAAATTTTTGTAGACTGGTTGCATTTGTTCAGCATTTCCACAGCATGAATCTCTCTAGAGTAAATGGAGCTTTCCATCAGGATTTTCTTCCTTTTGTCAAATAGACCAGCAAGTGTGTGGCTAGAAAAATTCCCAGTGGATTTCCTGAAGAAAATTTACACATTTTTTATGGTTTTGCTTGAGAACTATGGTCAACTTCAATATCCAGCATCTGCTGAGATTTGCAGAAGGCTCCAAGGGCTCAGTGTAGGCAATAGCTGCCTTCACCTGCCCATGTTCTTCCATGCTTCTGCAGAGTGCCCTCCCCAGCTTATTTCACTTGCTTGTCATCTAGTCTGTACTCACAACATTGCTAAAAATACATTTTTTCCAAATCATAAAATAGCCATTGTTATCCCTCCTTTTATGCAAAGAATATTAAAAAAGAGAAAATGCCTCAATTCACAATGACAGTTTTGTTTAGACGGGCAGTTCCTTGCAGTGTATTTGCCATAGAGAGGTAACCAGGAGTTGGACAACAGCCCATAGAAGGAACAACATGGAGCTTTAGTATGGTCAGACTGTGACCGTGACAAAGACATGCCTCATGCTTTCAGTAGGTGATCCATTGGCCAGGACACATTCTAAGGCATCCAGAGAAAAACAACTCCACTTCCAGAATGCCATGCAGCATATACTGCACCCTACCACCTCTAAATGAGGTCTTTTGGGCCAGCCTGCATATAAGCAATGGACAAACATTGCCTGAGAACAAAACCTCTTTGACACTGTAATGCTTTCTCTTTATAAAATGTAAGAATATATAGACAGACATCATTCCCTGTAGCAAAAATACAAGCTGTGATGATAGAAGTGTTTATAATGAGGAAAAAAGAAGTACCCAACAAGTAGTTCTGCACTGTATTTCTTTGCTTTTATCAGTGGGATGTG